TTGGCCTGCTGTGTTCATCCAGCCCTGCACCTTGTTGTCTCGGATTCACCGGCATCTGCAGTTCCTACTATCTCTGAATAGACTGGTGCTTTCTTTTCCCTGGAGTGCTGGATGCTGATCGATAGCCTTTTAGAGGTTCATAAAATCATGAGGGGCATGGATAAAGTGAACAGCCAAGGTCTTTTTCTCAAGGTAGGGGAGTCAAAACTAGAGGGCTTCAGTTTAAGGTGAGAGAGGAAAGATTTAAAAGGGACCTGAGGGGTAATGTTTTCACACAGATAGTGGAGTGTGTATGGAATGAGCTGCCAGAGGAGGCAGTGAAGACCAGTCCAATTATAACATTTAAAAGGAATTTGGATTGGTACATGAATAGGAAGCGTTTACAGGAATATGGGCCAAATGCTGGTGAACAGGACTAGTTGAGTTTAGGATACCTGGTCAGTGCTGACGAGTTGGCTCAAAGGGTCTGTTCCTGTACTGTATAATTCCGTGATTCTATGACTCTATTAACATCTAAAGGCAATACGTAAGTGAGTGCCCAATGTTCAAGATACCAACTTTCAGAGGAGATTGTAAATCAAGGCTATCTTCCATGGTACTATGCTGAAAATGAGTAGGAGAGTTACCCCATTTGCTGGCTAATATATATCCCTCAACAAATACCTTAAAAACAGATTATCTGGTCTTTATCTCTTTTTAATGTTTGTGAGACCTTAGTGAACACAAATTGTCTGCTGCATTTCCTACATTAAAACAAAGGTTACATTTCAGTTAGCTGTGAAGCACTCTGGAATGTACTGAGGCAATTGAAAGCATCATATAAATGTAAGTTTGTTTTTCTTCCGGGATGATGGTGTTATCAGTATTCAGTCTTTGATCAGTTATCAGTCTTTGGTCTGTGTTGCCCTGATCTATGAGTACTGCTATCCTGCCTGTAGCATGTACTGACCATTTCTGGGTGTCAGAATCAGTCTCAACCCCACTGCTTTAAGGTTGATGGTAATTTCTTTTCTCTGATTCAGCTGATTTGTTGGGGAAGATTGGTGAGATGGTCGATAAACTCTTTGATTTGGACAAGGAACTAATGCTGAGCTGGGTCGTGGAGTCGAAGGAGTTGTCTGATGCATCAACTACGGAAAAAGAAAAAACAGCTGAAACTGCATTGGTCCCTTGCTTATTGGAAGCAGCCAGACAACTCAGGTAAGTTTTGGGAAGAGAGTTAGTGCTCTATTTTTATGTTCTTTCATAGTGAATGTAAACCAGTGAAATTTTCCTTCCCTTTCTTTGACATGTGTTTCCATTTCCGCTGCCCACTGATTTCCACAGTTACCTGGACTATACATCCTCACATCCTGCTTCCTGTAAGGACTCCATCCCATTCTTCCAGTTTCTCTGTCTCCTTCACATCTGTTCTGATGATGCCACCTTGGAGTTCATTGTCACCATGGTTGACAGCCATGTCTCATCCATTTCCTGCAATTCTGCCCTCACTGCTTCTCGTCCCTCCCATAACATTGTTCGGGTTCCCCTCGTCCTCACTTACCACTCCACTACCATCTGGATTTGAAGGATCGTAAGCCACCATTTCTGCCACCTCCTACAGGATGCCACCATCAGACACACGTTCCCCTGCCCTCCATTGTCAGCATTTTGCAGGAACTGTTCCCTCCAGGACACCCTGGTCCACTTCTCCTCCACTCGCAACACCTCCCTATACCTCCATTGCACCTTCCATGCAATCACAGAAGGTATAGCACCTACTTGTTTACTTCCTCTCTCCTCACTATCCAAGGCTGTAGTCACACCTTTCAGGTGAAGTAGCAATTTACCTGCAGCTCACTCAATCTGCTGTACTGTTTTTGTTGCTCCTGTGGCTCCTGTACACTGAGGAGAAGAAACACAGACTGGGTGACCACTTTGCCAAACACCTATGTTCTGTCCATAAAAATGACCTCAAACCTGCAGTAGCCTGCCATTTCAACACATCACTGGGTTCTCTAGCTAGCATTTCTATCTTGGGCTTGCTGCGTTGTTCCAGCCAGGCTAAGCACAGGCTGGAAGAACAGTATCTCATTTTCCATTTGGTGACCCTGTAGCCTTTCGGACTCAATATCTAGTTCAATACTTTAAGAGTGTGTCCACCTTCTTCCATGTCCTTTACCAACCCCCACACACCGGCCTTGACATGGGCTGCTTTCAGCACAGCCAACTCATTTCCATCCACTAGTGGTCCCCATTATCTGCTTTTCTTGCTCTGTGGCATGCTGTTATCCATCCCTTTGTCTGCCTAACTGTCTTTCTCTGTTTCTGGGCTCCTTACAGACCTATCAGTTCACTCCTTTATCTCCCTCCACATCCCCCTTATCAGCATAAATACCACCCTTTTCCTAGCAGCCATCAGTTCTGAAGAAGGGTCACTGGACGCGAAATGTTAACGCTGCTTTCTCTCCACAGACGATGCCAGACCTGCTGAGTTTCTCAGGCAATTTCTGTTTTTGTTTTAGCGTCCACAGTTCTTTGTTTTATTAAACTTTCCTTCTCTTTTTCAGTTTCCCCCCCACCCAATAGTTGATGAATTATATACTCTGGGGATGGAGTTTAGGCAGTGGGGACTGTTGTCACTTGGGTGCACAAGTGAATTTGAAACAGGGTGAAGTGTGGCCTGATGCATTTTTTTGAAAGACAGGCATACAGCACTACATTGAACTGTGGGAACTTCTCAGTCATTGCTTAATGATACTACTCTCATTGTTAGAAATCTGTTTTTAACCCACTCCAGGGGTCTCAGCAGAAAATCTAGCCTGAAACTGTAGTAATTAAAGGAGTTGCCTTATGTTGGAGAGCCATCTTTCAAATGAGATCATAAATCAAGGCGATGTCTGCCCTCTCAGTAATGGATGTATAAAATTTTCATACTAGCTCTAATCAAACAATGTAAAATGTACTGTAACAGTCTTGGAATATTTTGCTATTTTTCAGCTGAATAGATTAACAGCGGTTCCTTAAGCAGTTTGTTTTGGTTAACAAACACATTTTGCCTTGTTCTAGAGACTTTTATCCCAGTTAAATTGCCATTTTTTTCAGATACTAGTTACATTTCCAGGCTACTTCAATAACTGAAAATATTGCACAATAATGCAGGCTAAAATAACTAGTCAAATTAATTTATAAAATCATGTGGAAATTCAAATACAAACAAAATTAGATTAAGTAGCAGTTATTAAAAAAAACTGAGCTGTCTGAATCTGTGACTGAGTCTCTTGATGACTGTTAGTTTTTTCATTTTGCAGCTTGGCTTTACAGCATGAATGTTTCCTAACTTGACTGGAAATGATTTAGGAAATCACAGCACAAAACTCCAACTTATGTAGTCCTGAATAGGTGGTGTGTCTAAGAGACCACGAAGTGGTTGGTGTTAGAAAATGGTAAAATGTCATATCAGTGCAGTGTGGAGAATTGTCCTTAGTTTGTTGCAGAGGTGTAGTTTTGGAACAAGAGTTAATCTTTGCTGGACTTCAGAGTGTTCAGAGTGCTTGATGCTTGTACCTTAGGTGGAGGGCATTTATTCTCCAGCACTAAAAAAAAAGTTGCCCCACACAGAAACAAATACAAAGAAAGCCAAGCGCCTCAGTTAGCTGGAGGTCCTGACAGCAAATAATGAAATGCCACTCACCAGGACTAGTTTGGATAGTTTTGTCAGGTACTTCAGTAATTTAGGTTCTTTTTTCCTCAGTCTTGGAATGTGAGTATTACTGGCCAATTATTACTCTAATTGTCCTTCAGATGGCGGTGGTGAATAGCTTTCTTGAAATAATGCAGTTCATGAGGTGTAGGTTGCCTACAATGCTGTTAGGGAAGGATTTGCAGGATTTTGACTCAGTGTGGGCAAAACAGCAGTGATATAGTTCCAAGTCAGAGTGTTAGTGATTTGGAGGGGATTTTGCAGGTAATGGGAATCACAGGTTGGAGGGTCTGTGAGATGGGATCACACATAATAACATGCAAGTAAAATTGGTATGCAGAAAGTATGGATGTGTACTTTGTGCACTAAACAACCAGTATTCCTGAGATCAAATCTATCCATTTACAGAGAACTGTAATTTATGCTGTATGCATAGGATGGTGGTCAGTGTATTTTTACCTCTGTGCTGTTTGCTGTTTTTTTTAGGTCAGACAGTATTGAAGGGTTAGAGGTTTACATACATATACTACAGCTGCTCACTACAACAGATGGAGGAATGCAGGCATTAGGTAACTTTCTTATTCTCAACATTTCATATCTGCAGTTCTTTCATATCTCATCCATTGTTCTTAATGTTTACTAATGGTAAAGTTCTACTTTTTGTTCAAATTGATCAGTATCCCTCCCCAAAAAGTGTTCACACTTCCTGCTGTTAATCCAAGTGTCGTGGGTTCATTATGCAAACATGTGTCACTTTGAGCTGAAATTTGTTTGACAAATGAGAACTTTGACCATGAAAATCCACCAATTTAAAGAGAATGAACCAATCTACTTTGTAGAAGTGATTTCATACTATCATTTTAGGTCCATTTAAGTGTTCAAAGCAACTATTTCTGAAGAAGGGTCTAGGCCCGAAACGTCAGCCTTCCTGCTCCTCTGATGCTGCTTGGCCGGCTGTGTTCATCCAGCTGTACACCTTGTTATCTCAACTATTGACAACTGCCCTCTTGAGCATTTTTGCAACTAAGGTTGGAGGAGCACACCATTGCTCTTTTCATGCTACCCCTTGAGTCACAATATAAGACTGAGGAAGGGTCACTGGATCCGAAACGTTAACTCTGTTTTCTCCTCCGCAGACGCTGCCAGACCTGCTGAGCTTTTCCAGCAACTTGTTTTTTGTTCCTGATTTACAGCATCTGCAGTTCTTTTGGTTTTTATTTACTATAGAAATATAAATGATTTTCTCTCTAAATATCATCAAAACACACAGTCAAAAACAAGCACACACACTTCAAGAAAAAGAAAAACACATTTCTCAGCAAAAACCTAAACACAGACTCTATAACCTTCTGAAAAGCAAACACTCTGGCTGATGCGTTATTCTTGAAGGCAAACGGGTAAAGTGTAGCATGTCAGAGTCTGTTGCTGTGATGTTTTGGCGTGTGTGGTCAAGTCACTAATCATGCACAGTTGTTTCTGATGTCTTGTACAATGCAGCTTGCTCGGGAAAAGCAAAATTCAAAAGGTTTCACCCTCAGAGTGACTTCACAATGAATCTCTTTTCTTGTAGTAAGAACTCCAGACAAGGCAGAGTCAACCTGGACTCTACTGTATGACATAGTTCACACTGATCTTTGTCAGGATGATGACCCAGAAATCATTGTAGAGGAGCAGGCAAGTGTGTTGTCTTCCACTCTGGCTGTTCTTTCAGCGATCTTTGCATCATGCATGGAGGAAAATTACATCAAGACTGAGCGAAGTGAGTAAGTTCAGCGTGTACTGGGAGTGATGGTGGGAGAAAACAGCGCAATAAATCTGACTCTGACATCTTGTGGGTGCCAACAAGTTTCTTTAATCAGGTGGTCAAATCAAGTACAAATGGAGAGATTTATCATCTCAAAGAATAGTTCTAAGAACAGGTCATTACTATTAGTTCTCTTCTTGAGTAGAGTCATTACCTGACTGGTAATCAATTCTGTATAGCTCTGTTTGACTGCTGACTTCTTACAATCTTGTATTTCTTACAATCATTTGTATTATATTTGTCTTGTTATCGTTAAACACTCGACCTCTATACCGCAAGCCTCAATATAGACTGGAGGAAGATGAGGCTGAACAACTATTTCTAAGTCAAACTTGGTTCCTTCCTTTTTGCTTTAGACTTCATTGAAGTTTTGGTATAACTGATGACTTGATAGGCCATTTAGGAGTTAACCACATTGCAGTACGTCTGAAGTCACACATAGGCCAGAATATGTTCCTTCTCTAAAGGATATTAATCAACCGTATGGGTTTTTAAAACAATCAAAAATGGCTTCATGCTCAGCATTATCGAGACTAACTTTTACTTGCAGAATTATTAATTATATCAGTTACCACGTTGGATTTGAACCCATGTCCCCAGAGCATTAAGCTGGGTCTCTGGGCTACTACTCCAGTGACGTTTCTACTTCCGCACCATCTCCTCAGGGAATGATGTCACAGATAAATACTGTGGTGTGGAGAGACTGAAGCAACTGTGATTATTCTCGTTAGAGCATCGAAGGTTCAGAGAAGTTTTAAAAATGAAGAATTTTGATAGTGTGACTAATGACAAACTTGTCTTTGGCAAGAAGTAACCAGAGGTAATTAGCAAAAGAATTGGAGATTAGGCTAAATATGAAAGTGTATGATTGGTTTAAACCCACACTGTGTACCTTCGTCAATTTGGTTAGTTTTGTGGTGGTATTCTTCAACTGTGTTATGTCTGGTGCAGACCTTCCTTTGCTTGGTACGCTCCTGCGAATTTTGTTCTATGCAGAGGAATCTCAGAAGAGACCATCAGAAGGAACAAGAAGACCCAGCACAGACAAATGGTCTGTCCCATCTCCAACGTCTGGTGCCCAGAAAGGAAAACGGCGAGAAGGAGACTATCACTTGAAAATTCTCCTGGATATCTGCTGTGAATTTCTTTCTGAAATCTTCACGAACATTGGAAAGGTATGGATGTATACTGGGAACATTAGAGAATTAACATTGCATGCTAATTGTGTTTAATTATCTGGAAATCATGGATATTAACTGAGGACTCACTTTGGAGCCCCTAAAAATCGAGACTCTGGTTTTGGTGTTAGAAAATGCATGCTTGTAATCTTTAAATAGCAATTTATAGAAGTGTATAAAGTTATTTTCTCCAAAAGTGGCTTTCTTAGTTTTTGTAAAATTAATTTTGTCGTGGGATGTGGGCATTGCAGATAAGGTCAGCATTTGTCATACACAATTGCTCCAACTGCTTGCTAGGGCCATTTCAAAGGCCAATTAAAAGTTATCCATGTTGCTGTGGGTCTGAAGTCACATGTAGGCTGGACCAGGTAAGGATGGCAGATTTTCTTCCTTTTAGAAGAAAAGGCCTTTTCCAACAATTGCTGGTAGTTTTATGATTACCATTGCTGAGCTTTATATTCCAGATTTATTCATTGACATTAAACTCGAGCAGCTGCCATTGTAGAGTTTGAACCCGTGTTATGGCAGCAATGCCCTGGACCTCTGGATTACTAGTCCAGTGACATTGTCACAACCATCTCTGAAACATAACAGACTGGAGATAGAGGTGATAATGGGTTGGTGGAAAGGAAACTAAAGGTGATTGAGTGAGAGCAGTACTGGGAATGGAGGAAATTAGTGGATATGGTGGAAGTGAGGATGTACATTGTAGGAGGTGAGGTTGCAATCGATAATGGGAAAGGAAGGATGAGGCTGAGCATGTAGGGATCACTGAGCGAGCACATGTACTTAGATTACCTCTTCTGAAAATTTTGCTTCTTGATTCTCCTGCTTATAAACCAACCACTAGCTGCAGTGTGATTGACAGTTCCTTTGTTCATGTAACTGCTTAGGTTTTGGTTAGGCACCATTACAGTGCATTGTGGTAACTATAATTCTCTCTGTTGTACTTGTAGGAGATTGTGTCAAAAAGCTTTAAAGAAGGGTTCCTGAGCCAGGAGATGTGCACTTCTGCTTTTCGCCACCTTCTCCCTCAGTATCACACAGCTGTGAGTATTTTTGTATGACTTGTCTTCAGGGATGAGAGATTTCTGCCATTTGGTAGAATTCTGACTTTGGGATTATGGAATTCTGCCCTTTTTAATTATTTTTCCGACATCCTCCTCTGACTTACGGTTCCAACTTGTTGACATTTCATCAGCAATATCATGATTTTTCACTCTTTCACTACAGTTGTCAGAACAGATTGAAGGCAGGACTGGAGCTTGTTGAAATTATGTATTATCTGTATCAATAATTTAGAGGAAAAGACTGAGCATAAAATCCAATTTTCCTGAAGATGCCATGCTAATAGGGTAATAACCTGAGAGGATGATGTAAATAGATTGTAAAAAGATATGGGTTGGTTAAGTGATTGGCATCAAGATAACAGATGAAGTATAATGTGGGGAAATTATAACTATTCAGTTTGGTAGGAAAAATGGAAACGCAGATGATTATTGAAATATAGGGAAGCTACAAGGAAGTTCCATGTTCCAGCTGTACATTCATTGGTTAAAGGGAAAACCAAATCAGTCAGTTAGAAGTATTTGGGAAATTTTGCAGATTTATGAATGAGCTTTCATATTCTGCTGCAAGAATTTTGTTCATTCTGTATGATGTGCTGAATGCTGAAATGTTTAAATGCTGAGGTCACTTTGGTAATTTTATACAAATGCATTAGTCCATATTTATAAAAGATGAGCAAAGGGAACAATAATGTTTGCATACATATAAAGTATTGTAATTCCATTAATTTGAACTGACCCAGAAACATTTGCAGTTGCTACAGATCATTAAATACAGAGTATATAACTGCATGTTGCTCTGTCCCAAAAGCATTTTGGTTGTTTTTCTCAATATCACCCCTGACTCTTAGAACCATAGAAAAATTACAGCAGAGAAGAGGCCATTCAGCCTAATATGCACTGCTGAAGGTTTAGCAAATCTTTACTCTTAGTTCTTGTTTCATCACAAGTTATTCACTGAGAGAGAAAATAGTGTTAAATTTTCAGCTATTTCTCTTCTTCAGGAGTGGTCAGACTTAAATACAGAAAATGGTGGAATCAGATCATGGGCTCATCAGGATCTGAAAAAGAGGGTTAATGTTTTCGTGGAGCGCTTTCGTCATTAATCTCTTTTTTTTTGGATGTTACCAGATCAGCCTTGTATTCATCCGGATTTTATTAAATACTTTTGGTAGAAATTCTTGTGCCCATCAAGTTCAAGGATGTTGCATGCATTAACCTCTTTAGATCTCTTCTGATCTGCCTTATATTTCCTGCATTTACAAGTTTTCTCTAAAATTTTGCAACAATTTGTCAGTTGTTGCTAAAGGAGAAAAACAGTGAAAGCAGATGCTGACTTTGCAAGGACTATGCATATCTTTAGCAGAGTTAATTTCAGTGTAAAACTGCTAGGATATTTTTGATTACTTTTCTTTGCACTTGAACCATCTCACATGAAATGGTAGATTTCTGGTTGGCACTTGGTTTTATGGATACTAATAATTTGTGACATCAACACAGAGCCTTGTCGCTGAATGTTAGCAGGCCATTTCTACTTACTGAGCAGTGCAATGAGCCTAATGCTTCATTTGTTCAACTATATGTACTTCTCAGTTAAGATCAATGATTAGGAGCAAAGACTCACTGAATTTTTTCCTGCTGTCCCAACATCAGTAGTGCTCAGATAAATTGCTGCATTCTGATCAGTGTTGTGTCTGAGATTGGGATTTAAGCAATGCTGTTTTAAAGCTGGTGCTGATGAGCATTGTTAGAGTGAAGTAAAACAACTTTAATCATTGCCCATTTGATCTGAATAATCTTGATGGAACAATGTAGAGGGAGCCTTGCTGGGCATCAAATTTCTGATGTACGTGACTTTGCGATACTTAAAGGAGCCTTTCAGACTAAGCTTTAATCTGCATTCAATCGTACCTTATCTCAGAGTGCTTGTGGCTTACGTTTTGCGTAAGATGAAAAGTGTTCCTTTCCCTAGCACTGAGCATCCTTCAACAAGATGACCGTAGAAATTTGCACTGAAAAGGTTTCAATGAAATTATTGTATGTTTCATTCAGTTCTCACTTATTATTGCTGACCAATACCTTTAATGTCTTCTAGGTGGAAAAATTCCACGCCATCTTAATGGAAGTAAAACCGGACACTGCGGAACAATTATTACTAGAGTTTCCCAATCTAAGATCCTGACTGGGAGTTGTTGCTGCAACTGAGCGGGAACTACGTTGTGTGGAGCAAATGGCCGCAAGACAGAAAACTCTTAATTGTCTAAATGCACATACCTCTACCAGACATTGCCTGGCAACAACAACTTTGTCAATCACTGAGGTACTAAATCAGCACAACTGCATTTGGATTTGTGAGCAACACAGGATTATGTTCATAATTGGATTAAGGTCCTATTAGAGTATATTTGGATATTTATACAGTTTATGTGAAGTTTCTTTCCCTTGGTGTAAATGCGGAAGAGACTAGCAGTGTGGAAAGTTTTAGGACCGATTAAAGTTACTGACGGAATTCTGCTCTCTTCCCAGCCTCCTGAGAATGTGGCATTTCAGGAGCAGTTTCATCCAGAGCTCAAAGTTGACACCTATAGCTGCAGCCTGTATCTTTCATTTATGTTTACCCTCCTGAAGCTTTGTTGTGTTGAGCTAGGAGTGTGCTCTTTCAGCAGTAGCTAGTTTACTATTTTACCTATGCTGAAAAACATAATGTTGAACACAGTGGGTATTTTTTTTCAATAAATGTTTGCTTTTCTATTTTAATCAATGGTCAGTGTATAAAGAATGTTTAGCTGATTGAAGCTTTTCACTGAGATGTCTTCACAAATCCCCCAGCTAATTTTCATCGAATGCCTACAGTGTGGAAACAGGCCCTTTGGCCCAACAAGTCCACACCGAACCTCAGAGCATCCCACCCAGACCCATCCCTCTAATCTACACCTCCCTGAACACTACGGGCAATTTAGCATGGCCTATCCACCTGCACATCTTTGGACTGTGGGAGGAAACCGGAGCACCTGGAGGAAACCCACGCAGACACGGGGAGAATGTGCAAACTCCACACAGACAGTTGCCCGAGGCTAGAATCGAACCTGGGTCCCTGGTGCTGTGAGGCTGCAGTGCTAACCACTGTGCCACCCCAATTCTTAATTGGATTAAGGTCCTATTAGAGTATATTTGGATATTTGTGCAGTTTATGTGAAGTTTCTTTTTCTTTGTGTAAATGCGAAAGAGACTAGCAGCTGTGGAAAGTTTTAGGACCGATTAAAGTTGCTGACGGAATTCTGCTCTGTTCCCAGCCTCCTGAGAATGTGGCATTTCAGGAGCAGTTTCATCTTGAACCAATTATTTTAGTGACTAATGTCCAATGGCACAGTAATGTTCAAGGAATGGCAGCATCTTTGTGACAAAACACTTTCAAATACATTGTACTGATGGTGCAGTAGGTAAAGCACCATCAGTCTAGATCTAAAGGTTCCAGTGACCATCCCTGGTAATTTCTGAGTAAGCTGATTTTGGCCAGGACAACAGTTAGGTTGCTACAGTTGGTCAAGCACCCCTTGCTTGGGTAGGCTAGAAAGTAGTGAAGGATGCTTCTCCTAATGGTATTCCAATTGCATCTGCTAGAAAATATATTTGAACATCAAATGAAAACAAGATTGAATTTAGCAATGATGCCACCCACAACTGAGTAGCCTGTTTATGAATAATAGCCTGCCAGATAGTGACCTTGATTTAAAACATAACACTTCCATCCTGAATGCACTGGTGAAGATTATACTCTGTACACATGGTATAATCTGTATTTGGGAACTATTATAATACAATCAGGCAAGCATACAAAAGATTTGCAATGCAAGTAAGTGCTGATCATTTACAGCAGATGTGAGACCTAAAATTCCCTTTACATTTCTTCTTTATGTGCTTCATTCCTAACTTCAGAAGAACAGATTCTGCTGTATTAGTGTGACATCTTTCCATTTCCCCTTGTATTTTAGGAGGTGTTAATGAGGTAAGTTCAGTGTCAACAGCAAATTGTGATAGCATTTAAACGTTTTGGAGAAATTAAATAGGTGGGATAAGAACTGGTGGCTGACTGTATCTATGTAAAAATAATTCTAATTTCCCATGCTTCTGAAGTTCTCACCATTGTACATTTTAGTGTCTATATTTATGAAGAAATTTGTGTGCGCAAATTTGCCACACAGTCATTACATAATACTTATAGCACAGGAATAGGCCCTTTAGTTCAACTGGTCCATTTCAGTGAGCTGCCTCCAAACCTGGTACATTTTCATTCAATCGGTGTATTCTTCTATTCCATTTTCCTTGAAATACTTACTTTACAGCATTTTTAGTGCTTCTCTGCTGTTTGCCTCAACTATTCCATCTTAATGTAATAGTAACAGTTTCCACTGAGTGGATGAGTAAAAACCCTTCTCCCTGTGCTCTCCCTCTAGTGATAACAATGCTGTGTCACTATTCTCTGGAGGCTATAATTACAGTTTCATGGAAATATTAAAGCATGCCAAAAGTGCACGAGACAAAGTACGACATAAGCCAGTTGATGCAGTGTGCAAAATTTATGCTAGCTGCATTACCTTTTGCATTATTGTACTGTAGGAATAAAACAAAACAGAATAAGAAATACTTGTAATGTATTAGAAAAAATATCTTATGAAGACTTTAATTATTAGAGAAGTATTTAATATGGAAGTAAGCTGTACAACAGACCTTATCAGTTCTGAGTTAACTAATCTTGGAGTAACAGTTGGAGTGTTCATATGGCCTAAGCATCTCTGCATTCAGAAGAAGAAATATCAGGTAGAGATTCCAAACTCAATTATCATTCAGTGGCCCATATTGTAAAGTGTGAGAAAAGAAAAGAATTGAGCATATCCCAATATTCAAATATTCTGCCCACTGTGATGCTTCTGAGTTTAGAATAATTAATTAAGTAAGATCGCAGAGGGCTGCTAACAGTTGATGGATTTACATTTCAGCACGAGTTGTTACCTTCAGAAAAGAAGGGAAGACAATTGAATAAAAATGTTTTTTAGGACTGTAAATCTATATGTTTAAGCTAATTAGCCTTTTAGAGGGCAGTATGAGCACAGGGATTAGAGATGTAACCCACATAATCAGGTCTTTCAATATTCTAGTCTTCAAATATTCTACTAAGCACTTCTGTTTTTCCTGTGTACATCTGATTTGTCAAGTTCATTTCTCCCAATGCTTGTAGTCTTTGTCCTGAATTCAGCACTGCTTTCATTACAGACATCATACAGCAATCAAGAGATGCACTGAGGCTTTATAAGGTCTTTTTAAGGCATTTAGCAGGTATGGGGAAAAAGCAAGAATATGGCATTGAGATAGAGGGTCAGCATGATCATATTGAATAGCAGAGTAGACTCGTGCTCCTAATTTCTTTGGTTTTCAACTTTCAGATGGGCTCTAAAATAAGATTTCTGTCCCTGTGCATCTTTCAGATGAGATTTTAAAAGCAAGGCCCCATTCTTTCTTAGCTGGATATAAAATATCCCAAGGTACTATTTTAAGGATCCTCAACATTCTGTCAATATTTAACCCTCAAATAATAATACAAAGAAACAGGTTCTGGTGATTATCACATTGTTATTCGTAGGAGCTTGTGTGTAAACTGACTGTCATGTTTCCTACCAACACTTTAAATAAAAGTACTCCATTGCTTGTAAAATGCTCTGTCATATCTGGTCATGAAAACCATTATAAATGTAAGTTGTTACTTTTCACAAATCCCAGTCCTTTGGCCCACTGTACCACTGAATCCTCTACCCTGGTTCTGGACACACCCACCATCAGGAACATCCCTGCACCTACCCTGTCTAGTTCTGTTAGAATTTTAAAAGTCTGTATGAGATCCCTCCCCCCCACCTCATTTGTCTGAATTCTAATGGAAACAATCTTAACCTCGTCAATCTCACCTCATACGTCAGACCTGCCATCCCTGGAATCAGCCTGATAAACCTTCGCTGCACTCCCTTGAGAGCAAGAGCATCCATCCTCAGAAAAGGAGACCAAAACTGCACACAACATTCTAGGTGAGGCCTCACCAACACCCTGTACAACTGGAACAACACGCCCCTGCTCCTGTTCTCAAATTTTCTCACATTGAAGGCAAACATACCATTTGCCTTCCTTAAGCACCTGCATGCTTACCTTAAGTGACTATGCACAAGGACACCCAGGTCCTGCTGCACACTCCCCTCTCCCAATTTACAGCCTTTCAGGTAGTAATCTGCCTTCTTGTTTTTGCTTCCAAAGTGAATAACCTCACATTTATCCAAATTATACTGCATCTGCCATTGATTTGCCCACTCACCCAATCTGTCCAAATCTTGCTGAAGGATCTCTTCATCCTTGTCACAGTTCACCCTCCCACCCAACTTGGTATCATCTGCAAACTTGGAGATGTTCCATTTTGTTCCCTCATCCAAATCATTAATATATATTGTGAATAGCTGGGGTCCCAGCACCAAGTAGCAACAAATTTGCAGTTAGTGATTCCTGCTCTCAGCTCACATCTATTGTTCAGTTGCTGCTGGTCCATTAGCTTGTTGGTGCATCTGTTGCTGCTCAATTTCTTTGTACCTTTGTTGCACAGTGGCCAATGATAATTAAAACTCTTCCCAAAGCTGGATTCATTGGTCACTCTTCCAATAAACCTGCGTGGGGGGTTTAAGAAACAAAACAGATCCTTAGTAATACGAGCAGTCACCATTGCATCTGACACAAATGGTTTAGCTTATCCCTCCATAGAGTGGGACATGAAAAACTCCAACAAGGAGGGCCATCGAATACCTCTGGATTGTTCTGTGATATAGGACTTTACTCCAATATATGCAGCACGATCCATGTTATTCCAGTACAGTAGGAGATTGTAAACGCCGTTTGATGACTGATCCCTTGGTCCTCATCCCCACCCCACCTCCCCATATCACCAAAGAAAGGCAGCATTGTATAGAAGAGCACATTGGTGAATACATACAGTTCAAGAAGAGACAAAATCAGCTCCATGCCCCTTGTGCAGCCAATGAGCTTAGATAGTCTTTGTGAATTCTGGCCCACAGCTGCCGCTAATAAGGTCACCGGTGATTACTTCTGCTTCACAGAAAAGACTGTCTTCGATCTGCAGTGACCAATGATATAGTTGAAGATTGCTTGTGAGCGGGAATTGTTGGACAGTTGAACGCTACATGCCATTCACGTGTCAGATTTCATGATTATACAGGACTTCAGCCTGTACTGTGAAAGTGCTTGATCAATGCAGTTACTTCTTGAAGGGACTCATCACTGACATAACATCATAAGATATAGGAGCAGAAATAGGCCACCAGATCTGCTCTACCATTCAATGAGATTATGGCTGATCTAATATTCCTCAATTTCACTTTCCTGCATTTTCCCCATAATACAGCTTGATTACTTTATTGATTAAAAATGTCTATCTCAGCCTTGGATATGCTTAATGATCCAGAGTCTTTAGGCCTGTAATTCTTCTAAGCTCCAATGAGTACGAGCTCAACTTTGTCAACCTCTCCTTATATGACAGTCCCTCTGTGCCCGGTATCAGCCTAGAGAACCTGCTCTAGACTGCCTCCAATGCCAGTATGTCTTTCCTCAGATAAGGGGCAAAAAAACTATTCAGAGTATTCCACTGTGATTTGACCAGGTTTTTACAAGACCTAAGACTTGTAAAGTTTTAGCAAGACTTCTCTATTTTT